TTGTTTAAAAATGAATTTCTTTTTGCAAACTTATTTCATTTTTCTTTATTCAATCAAACGACAAAGAGAGAAACCAGTCAGATGCCACCTTGTTGCAGTTCGGTTTGCCAAACCGAGAGCTGACGTGTCAGAACTCGAACTTGACATTTTTAATTAAAGTTGAGAAACGGTTTGTATTCAGCTCAGCTGCGCAAACAACACAAACAAAACCTGTTTCCTGTAAACGGCTCCCAGCAGAGGAGAACCAGACATCTCCATTTTGAAATAATTAACACACTTTAAACCGCATGGCTGAATGAATTCAGGGACGCACATGCAAATTCCCGCACATCCCTTGCCTGTGTGTGAGTGTGAATGAGGGTTTCTTACAGTTGGGTTTAATGGTTACCAGTGTGTCAGTTAACTGTGGGATGTATAGCACTGCAGAGTTTTACTGTTTCAGTGTTTTTCTTGCAGGGAATAAAAACCAGAGATCAATAGAGATCTCCCCCAGCTAACCCTGCTCTGAGTGCCACTGATGGATAACAGATAGTGTGTGTGTGTGTGTGTGTGTGTGTGTGTGTGTGTCTCAGGCTTTTATACCAGAGATTTTCTTTCATTTCGTCTTTTTTCCTTTTGCACATTTTCCAGTATTGTTAAATTTTGTGTGTGTGTTTCAGAGAATTTGGATCAATTTCTGATCAACACTGACTTGTTAGTTTCTCTGATTTTTATTTTATATTTTTTCTTTGGATGTGTGCGCCTTTGTGCCAGATTTGCAGTGAGTCTGACAGAATTGATCTCCTTCCTATCTCTGATATCAAGATATATTTCTTATACTGATCTGAAAATGGAGGCTCAGAAACGCGTTGGGAGTCAGAGAGCGTGTTTCTTGGCAACTCGTTTCTCCCAATATGGCAAACTAACTGTCTTGTGAACTGAGAGCCAAATGCTGTGTGTGGTGTGTGGTGGGGGGGTGGAGTTGTGAAGGGAGAGAGGAAGGAAAAGGTTAAAAGAGGGAGAGGGTGAGAGAGAGACGAAGCTAATGAAAGAGTAATTCCAAAACATTTAAGGAAACATTTCCCTCTCAGCTACCATTTGGATGTTGTTTCTGGAACAAGGACTGCAAATGTTTTTCCTCTTTCGACCCCTCCCACTTTTTCCTGCTTTTGACTGTTCAGGAGGGGCAAAGGGACTTTGGGATTGTATTTTTTTCCCTGCTCACTGGCACAAAGCAAAACTGTAGACTGTGTGTACATGTGTGCGTGTGTACTCAGACACATGGAATAAATGGCCTGTAGGCGGCTACAATGCCGAGATTGATCCATACTCCAGTGAGGCATCTGTGCCTCTTGACGTGTCTGTGTATGTGTATTAGAGAGACCCTGGTGTTTGGCCTGAAGAAATGGAAACTGCTGACATCCTACCAGGACTTCAACAACCTTGACAGGTGGTGGTGGTGGTTGGAAATGTAGTGTGTGTGTGTGTGTGTGTGTGTTCATCGAGGGTGCATCTATGTTTTGCACGTCTTACACATGAGGTAATGATTAAAAAGTGGCTTAAAGGTGAGGATAATTTGTTAAAACAACATGGCTGCCACCTAGTGCGACACACATGGACACTCGCCGATGTGTTTAAAAGTGGCAGTAATTAAAAAAAAAAAATAGTGAAAGTGCTATGGAACAATTGGGCTTTGTGA